AACGGTATTAGAAAATAGGTATGTCCAGTTTGTCACAGTGAAAACAATAGTATTAGAAAATAGGTATGTCCAGTTTGTCACAGTGAAGACAATAGTATTAGAAAACAGGTATGTCCAGTTTGTCACAGTGAAGAAACGGTATTAGAAAATAGGTATGTCCAGTTTGTCACAGTGAAAACAATAGTATTAGAAAATAGGTATGTCCAGTTTGTCACAGTGAAGACAATAGTATTAGAAAACAGGTATGTCCAGTTTGTCACAGTGAAAACAATAGTATTAGAAAACAGGTGTGTCTAGTTTGTCACAGTGAAGACAACAGTATTAGAAAGCAGGTATGTGCAGGTTGTCACAGTGAAGACAACAGTATTAGAAAACAGGTATGTGCAGGTTGTCACAGTGAAGACAACAGTATTAGAAAGCAGGTATGTGCAGGTTGTCACAGTGAAGACAATCGTATAGTGATGGAAAGCATACAAATAATTATGATGCATGATAATGAACAAAAAAGTCAAGTAAGAGATGAAGTTGAATGGAAGGAAAGGATGAAAAAGAAAGGAAAAAGAAAAGATCCCTAAAGTGAAAGAATAGAATCTGGTGATAAAGGCTGATACAACAAGGAGTCAACACAAATTACTGGAGAAAGAGAAAATAAAAGACACAAACTTGTGCATTCCAAGCAGGGAAGGACAAAAGTAGATTCACATCAGGAAGAGAACAAGAAGGAAAAGCAAGTGTGGAAACAACAGTAGTGGAACACTTACAAGATGAAGCAGGCTCAGTTGAAGTAGCTACAAATATAATGTTTTGGTGGTCTTTTTACTGTTTTTAGTTTGTTTGTTTGTTTTATGTTATTAGAATGGCAATGATGCACAGATATAATGAAAACTTTGAAGAGTACTAGATGAAACCAGTATATTGGTTCAAACAATGGGAGAGGTATCTCCAAAAGTACAAGATCAATTAAAAGAAAATCAAACCAAATATAATGACAGTTTTTAAGAGGCAAATGTAAAATTTTGTATCATTCTCTCACATAATTAAGGATAGAATGACTAAATGATGAATAGCAATGAAAGGTGAAAACAATAAGTGCAAAGATTATAGTAAAACAAAGAGTACCAATGAAAGGTGAAAACAATAAGTGCAAAGATTATAGTAAAACAAAGAGTACCAATGAAAGAATGAGCCTGTGTTCACATGCTACTGTTCATGGGGATTACTGAAAGAATGAGCCTGTGTTCAGATGCTACTGTTCATGGGGATTACTGAAAGAATGAACCTGTGTTCACATGCTATTGTTCATGGGGATTACTGAAAGAATGAGCCTGTGTTCACATGCTATTGTTCATGGGGATTACTGAAAGAATGAGACCTGTGTTCACATGCTATTGTTCATGGGGATTAGAGAAAGAATGAACCTGTGTTCACATGCTATTGTTCATGGGATTAATGTGTATGGAAGATGTGACCCTCCTACTGGTGGAAGACTATAGTCTAATGACGATTACATCATTAGTTGGAACATGTAGAGTGGAACTTCATTTAAGGCATGTGGCATGTGCAGGGATTTTCATGGCAGTGTGCATGATGTAATAGCTCTTAGTTGTGCAGAGAGGCAAGTGGTGTTTCTCAACTGCTTATTTTACACAAACGAAATTTTCAATTTACCTTATTTTACAGAAACAAAACTTTTAATTTACCTTATTTTATCCAAAAACCACCTAATTGTTGAATCAGCCATATTTTAACCAAACCTTTTAAATGATCAATCTATGCAAACATATTTTACTTCTGTCTTTTTTGCTTTAATTTTTATAATCAGGATTATTTTACCCATACACATATTTTATATTTACATAAGCATGTATTGTTTTTCAACTTTTTTGATGCAAGTTTTCTATTCTTTGTTATTTATCAATTGTTTATTCTATTATCACTATCCAAAAACAACTATTTTTTTTAACTAGCTGCAACCCTCAAAACATTTGCAATAATTTTCATGTTTTTCACTTGAATTTTCTTATTCTATCATTTTCACGCACACCATTTAAGCTATACTTTCTTGCGGACATTATGTGTTAGATCAATAAATCCTGGTGTATTTAAAAAATTTTTATGGCATCAGACAAACTCTCTCACAGATGTAATTTTATTTAATAAAACAACACATAAAGTAAACAATAAAGTATAGTAATGATAGTTATAACAGTATACAGAGAATGAAACAGTTATGAGCATTCAGTGTATGATATGGTTTTATGGGTTGAAACTCATAAAAACAAGGAATAAAAGCTGAACTAAAGATAAAAAGTAGCTAAAAGGTGTTTATAGCAGTATATGAAATGAACCGAAGCTAATTTATTGCAAAGTACAGTAAATGTAAAGTTGTAATGAAGGCAAACTGAGCTGAATATGCAGAAACATCTGAATGGATGTTCATAAAATGATGAAGCATATAGTCTGAACAAATTACTCATGCGTATTTTAGATGTACATAAGTTGAGAATACAATTTATATTTAGTGTAATGTTCAATTTTTAGAAAATTAAACATGGATTAAGTGTTATTTGTGCAAATGTAAAACTAGAGTTGAAATCAAGGTCAGTCCTCACGTGATGACAATGACATTGTGCCATTGCGTACCATACTCATTGCATTGAAAAGTTTAACTAAGCAAAGAAACAGGCAAGGTGATTCTGAATGGAAAAGCAATCTGGACTCCTCAGACAAAGGCCTTTCTAACAATATGGGATTTGTAGTGTTTGATTGAGAAATTTGTGAGAAAAGTTCTGGACAGACAAATGCAAGCATATTATTTGTATAGATTCACCTAATTTTGATTTAATTTGTAATATAGATTTACCCATTTATTTCTTCTTTTATTAGAGCAAATCAAATTCTTATTCCATATTTTTGATTGCAGTAAGTTCTTATCCTGTCTGCTTTACCCTGACACATATAAAGAAAACAGGTATGTGCAGTTTGGCACAGTGAAGACAACACCCTAACACGTATATTTGTTTCTCTTATTTTAACAAAAACCTTCTATTTTTACATTAAATCAGCTTCAATTCATTTTACACAACAGGAACAAGAAAATAAATAACAAATTTTACCGAAATGGCTTCAAGCTTGGATTTTAATATCTCCACTCCTCCATGTTCACCAGGCTGATCTACAGTTGCTTTAATAGTCTTTAACCAATCTTGGAATTTTTCTAACTTCTGGTTATATGCTAAATGTCCATCAACATATATTTGGCAGGCTTCTGTATGAGACTGAAAGAGAGAAAATACTAAAAGCTTTCTTAAACCTGCCACAGAAGTCAAGTACACTAATATCGACACAAGTAATACAAAACTTTTTATATACAAGTTACCATATTCAGTACACTAAACAAACCAACTTTACAAAACTAATAAATCATTCATCACAGAATACTGTTGAATAAGAGCTCGGGCATGAATAAACTACTAAAAGTGTTAAGTTAACTGATTAAAAGAAAACTGTACGAACCTGACCAGACTTTAGTAATTCATCATATTTAGTCTGCAAATCACTGATGTTTTGCAGAGCTGACATTTCAGGTAAAGTCTTTGCTTTTTCTTCCAATTTCAATATGATGGGTTGATGGGAAACAATATCCTGAACCACAGACTGAAATATAAAATTGGATTCATAGTCATTTACTCCACCACAGTTTCTATGCTATAATTAAAACCATTCGGTTATGCACCATGTTCATATATATCCTGAACCAGAGCATGAAACATAATAATTACATTAACATCCTTTTTCTCTACCACAATTTCTCCCCAATAATTAAAGCCCTTTCATTATGCACTGTGTTCACTGAATATTCATACTATGTTCTAAACACAATATGTACATACAGACGATATTCTATTATTAATCTTTTCCCCTAATTCTGATTTACAAGTGACTCATATAAAATCATATCATTCCACATGCTTCTTTACTTTCACTCATAAGTTCTTAGAATTATATTTCTTCATGGCTACTAATGTGTCCACTAATCTTTCATATCATATGCTAAATAATTATTGATGGTAGGTAATTAACCATGTATCAGTTTTCTTTTCAAATACAAGAATTTACCGAGAAAGTTATCTAGTGTAGGTTAGATGATGCAAACAATGAAGGTAAGAAATTTGTATCTGTTGTGATGTAAAGTAGATGATATAAACAACCAAGTAAGACTTAGAACATTATCTTGTATGATATAAGGTATATGATGTAAACAACCAAGTAAGATTTTATAATTTATCTTGTTGATATAAGGTAGATGATACAAACAACCATGCAAAACTTTTTGAACATTATCTTATTAATATAAGGTATAAGATATAAACAACTAAGTAAGACTTAGAACATTATCTTGTTGATATAAGGTATGATATAAACAACTAAGTAAGACTTAGAACATTATCTTGTTGATATAAGGTATGATATAAACAACTAAGTAAGACTTAGAACATTATCTTGTTGATATAAGGTATGATATAAACAACCAAGTAAGACTTAGAATATTATCTTGTATGATGTAAACAACTAAGTAAGACTTAGAACATTATCTTGTTGATATAAGATATGATATAAACAACCAAGTAAGATTTTATAATTTATCTTGTTGATATAAGGTAGATGATACAAACAACCATGCAAAACTTTTTGAACATTATCTTCTTGATATAAGGTATAAGATATAAACAACTAAGTAAGACTTTAGAACGTTATCTGTTATAATATAAGGTAGATGATATAAACAACTAAGTAAGACTTTAGAACATTATCTTGTTGATATAAGGTATGATATAAACAACCAAGTAAGACTTAGAATATTATCTTGTATGATGCAAGGTATGATGTAAACAACCAAGTAAGACTTAGAATATTATCTTGTATGATGTAAGGTATGATGTAAACAACCAAGTAAGACTTAGAACATCATCTTGTATGATGTAAGGTATGATATAAACAACCAAGTAAGACTTAGAATATTATCTTGTATGATGTAAACAACCAAGTAAGACTTATAATATTATTTTGTATGATGCAAGGTATGATGTAAACAACCAAGTAAGACTTATAATATTATTTTGTATGATGCAAGGTATGATGTAAACATCCAATTAAGACTTCAAAACATTATCTGTTATAATGTAAGGTAGATGATGTAAACATCCAATTAAGACTTTAGAACATTATCTTGGTGATGTAAGGTATATGATGTAAAGAACCAAGTAAGACTTCAGAATATTATCTTGTATGATGTAAGGTATGATATAAACAACCAAGTAAAACTTCAAACATTATCTTGTGTGATGTAAGATACATGATATAAACAACCAAGTAAAACTTTAGAGCATTATCTTGTTGATATAAGATATATGATGTAAACAACCAAGTAAGACATTAGAACATTATCTTGTTGACATAAGATATATGATATAAACAACTAAGTAAGACATTAGAACATTATCTTGTTGACATAAGATATATGATATAAACAACTAAGTAAGACTTTAAAACATTGTCTTGTATGATGTAATGTAGAGGTGTGAAGTTTATAACATTATCTGAATCACATCTATATATTTAAAGCACAAAAAATCTGTCTGTCTGTTATCCATCTACTCCTAGGTCTCTGTGTTAAACTGAACCAAATTTTATGGGATGATAGTTTGGTTCAAAACACCCTCTACCCCCATTACAGATGTTACTTAGCATTCATTTTCTTTGTCTTAAGTTAACATTAACTACTAATACTTACATGGCACTACACCCTTACATCAAACAAAAAACTTTATTAAACTTTCTATAACACAACATGCACACAGTATGGAGAGAGCACAAAAACATCTTATACATTTCAGAGAGTGAGCTAGCACTCTCTTTGGAGGAATGAAATGAAAGAAAATGGCTGGCACTATTTCAGTTATACATAAATTCGGATGAAGTTTATACTACAAAAGCCACCATAATGCTGGTAGGAAGAACTGTTTCTTGAGTTATACTTGCTTCTACTTTTACCCGTGACCTTACAACTTCATCCTGTAAAACACTAATGCAATTAATTATCATCAACTAATTAATAATATGAAACAGTGTGGAATGACACTAAGAACTGGGTGTTGAAAGTGGGTAACAGAAAGCATCTTTACTGCCAGTACTTTGGCTGCTACCTTTTTGTACAAAGTCACCCTGACCATCTTACAGTGTATAGCATGTTTTAAGTATATACATAGTGATTTCTTAAAGCCTACACAAAACTTTTGGTGAGGTAATAATGAATACTGTAATAATATGTTATGTTATATAAATAAATTTTGAAAGTTATGATTTTTGTGTAATTTATCATAACATTCACCCCCACAGTTTTCTAAATTCAAAACCCAAATAAAGGATGGGTACCTCAGCTTGTTTTAATATAAGGCACAAGTAACCTTACAAGATAAATATAAAATTGGGAATATATAAACTTGCAAATAGGGATCATAAAAGAAGTAAGTAAACAAGGCTATATATACTGTGGGCATTTTCTCAAACTACAAATCCCTATTCTGACTCCACCAAATGTAATCCTAGGTAACAGCATAGAGCCAAAATAGAGGTTTGTAGTTTGAGCATTATTTGCTTACATGTTTTAAGATTCCTATTTGCAGGTTTTTAAATTCCCAATTTTTTATTTATCTTGTTTGCTGGCTTTTTTTATGCTCAACTATGGGCAAAGAATATGGTAGCTAACTTTATGCATTGTAATGAAAATAAACATAGCTAGTAGCTAGCTGATACGGTTCATGATGATTTACTGTAGCTATTGACTATTTGATCGCATTAGTTCAAGATTTAATTTGTTAATCTGTAGTTGGAGATTGTCATTGAGATTTGTTTCAGAATATAGCAAGCATTTATAGTTTCTGTGTAACTAAACTCTCTATAATGTCTATCAATGAGCAAATATATGTCTAGACTAAGATACAGCCCCCACTGAGCTCATATAAAATTTTGCCAGTAGAAAAGCAGCCTTCTCAAATAAACATATATGTCTAAAACATTGCTTTATAAAACCTTTGTTTCTTTTAAGGTAATTATTCTATGGAGGTGTGTAATAAAATTTAATGTTATATGTATTGTTTTTTTTTACTCCTTCATTTCATACATAATATAGGGGTTGGCTCCCTAAAGATGCTGATTGTATAGTGTACAAAGCAGTGAGTACCTACATGTTACAGTCATCTAATGTTCATCTATTACTGACAGGTAATTCTTGTACTTAAGCTTTTTTAAAGGAACACCAGATATTTGTAAAAAGCTACCTTCAAGGGATAATGATAACATCACTTAAACTAGAATTATAATATTTTTTAGCTTAAGTAAAATATAGAAGAAACAAATTGACTTTTCAATACCCCTATGATCTTTGCAGTACCTTATATAGTATTCAAAAGGTTTGGGTGCAATATACAAAGCCTTACTGTTGCACATTGGCAAGAGAATAATAATATGAAAAAGAATTACATATGGGCCATTTTGAGTGGATTCTCTTTTGCTTGTAAGTTTAACATGTGTGTTTGTTTTGTTCATTTTTATATGTGTACAGCCTTAGCAGTCAATAGTAAAGGTTTTAAAGCATTCTTTGAATTTAATCTTTACTGTTTAAGGTGCTTTTTGCCCAAACGTTCTATTGCAATTTCTTGCAATTCCTTGCGATCCCTATTATGAATCACTATCACTGTTCATGATAAAATATGGGCATCCTTCTTTATATCCATCTTGGGTTCATATCCAACTCTGGGGCTAGTTATCCAGTACATATTTTAATACTAACTGAATAGCTGGCCATTCAATTTAAGTATATTTACAGATCTATAACTCAGTACAAGACATAACTTACCTTATAGTTCTGTAGTTGTGTCTCCTTTTCAACCAAATCTGGTTTCAGATCTGTTTCTGAGCCAAGTTTGTCAGCCACTTCCTTTAGCCAGTTTGATATTTGCTCACAGCTGGAAAAATACATAAACAATTTTAAAAGGCACACTTGCAATTTTTTAGTTACTAAATTTAAATTTCATATTTTAAAATCAAAAAATGGTTTGTATTTATTCTCCATTATAAACACATGATGTCATTAAAATATTTGCATTGTTATGATGTATTTACTTCAAGTATTCACTATCTGTCATTAAAAGATTTGCATTGTTATGATGTATTTACTTCAAGTATTCACTATCTGTCATTAAAAGATTTGCATTGTTATGATGTATTTATTT